TTTTTAGCCTTTTTACCCACTATTGATGCAAATATTTTATAATCTACATTTAATAGTGATAATCGTGTATGGAAGCAAGCTTTGAAATGATCTTTCAATCAATATCCATGTTATAACTAGCTGTGCAGGAGAACGTTATAAATAAATATTGTGACTTGTTTAAGGAGAATGTTTAGCCTCGCTAAGGTTATTCTGATCAGACAGCACCCTCTTTTGGCCATATGAGAAACTAGTAATACCTTGCATTTGTATGTCTTTACTAGTATAGTAAATGCAAAAAAAATCTGATGCTTGTATGTGTGCTAAAATATATTGAACAGGCTCCCTATTTCTATTTCCTGATTAGAATACGGAAAAAGTTAATGATGGTAAATATAGCCATCTGGGACATTGCCATAAAGTCCCAGATAGTGGTACCCAGATCGGGGTCCTTTTCTGTTTTGTTTCTTGTCTTTGTGTGTATATGTGTGTGTCAAAGTGTTTGTGTTCCCTCAAGGTAAATGAAACTGTTAAATGTCTCTGATCCCTAGGAGAAAAATAATAATTAACTTGTTAGAAATAATGTTGAATTAAGCAATGGAAATGCCTTCACCCTGAGTTTGCCTGGCCAGCAGAACAGGGTGAAGTTTCTTCCCCTCTGTACTTTTAAGAACAGCCCAAGGTTATGAGGGAATATTTTAAGTTCATTTACAGGAAAAAAAATCATTCTTGAATTTACTGTATGGTTTTATCTGTCCATCCTTTTTATGAAGCATGTGAATCCAGTTTTTTTTCTCCACTGTGATGTCCCCATTTTGTTATAACTGGTCTGTTTAATAACCACAATACTGTTTTTTTTTTCTTCCTCAAACACTGCCTACAAGCTATCTACCCCCCACCCCCCCACTCTATCTCTCCATCTCTTATCAATGCCTTTCCTGGGAGAATCACCCACAAAAGGTGGGAGGAGCCTTGTTCTCATGTCTTTCAGCCCTGCACAGATGACTCTGCAATCTGTGGAAGCAGATAACACTGACCCAGATGCTGCCTCCAGAGGAGACCTTCCATTCATTTGAGCCAGAGAACTGGGTTTGGATCCACCATCCACCTGAAATCCATCACAGCAACCAGAGTGGAGCAGACCTTCCCAAGCCTGACTGATTGGCCATACCACCGAGTCAAGCCTAACAGACTTGAAAGAGAGGACCCTGAGATTGTCCAGTGAAGACTAAAGACTATTTTCAATCCCCAGAAGATAGCTGGAAAGACAATGGGGGAGGATGGAAATTCATTGTAAGGTTTCCTTTCTTGTCTCATTTGCATTGTAATCAGTTAAAATTTTAAATGGACCCATGGAGGGATGGCAATTGGGAGTGGTTGACACAGTAAGTTCTGAACATCTTGGACTGGTCTGGTGGGAGGAAAATTTGTCCAGCATGTTTGTATTGTCTATCTTGCAGAAGTAGCTACACACACACAGAGAGAGAGACTGTTCAGAATTAGACTGAGGCTATCCCTTTCACCTATCCCCACACAAAGCTTCTCCTAATTTTGTTTTTTGTTTTGTCTGTTGCACTAAGGCCCAAGCAGTCATACCTCTATGCCAATTCCATGGGCGAGGGGGCATCCCCTCAGGTAATTCCTTCACTGAAGAACTAGCAGAAAAGAGATCTCCAAACCCCAAGCCCTGATTGTGACTCACAATTGATGTTGCCCAGTAAAAGCAGGATATGCTGCAAGGTGGTCTCCTTAGAAGTCCCAGAGCTCATTGTGTGTAATTTGAAAAATAAATAGCCTGGATTGCATACTGGTTAACCTCAATTTGGCCTCACAAAAGTTAGAGCTAGGGCAGGTTCAAGAAACAACCTTTGTAATTGGCAGCCTGTAGCAAAACCATGGCTGTAAAGCATTTTGGGGCTTGTGCCTTGCTTCAAACATGACTGTAAGCTCACAGAAAGTGACATCAAACCTCTGAAAATAATTGGCATAGAAAATTAGACACTGTAAATTTCTTTCCAGAACTTTTACCCTGGCTGTTAGACCTTCATGGCTGAAAGCTCCCCTTTTGGAAGCCAAGGGATAGTTTTCTGCTACCTCTGTCATTGTATTCCTGCCCCCGTGCCTGAGCTGCCTCAAGACCTGCAGTCTCACCCCTCCAAAACACAATGAAAAGGGAAACCAGTTTTTCTTAACAATAATTCAAATTGACCATGACTATCAAGTATACTCAGACACTTCCCAGGATCGTGCTGAGGGTGAAATAATTGGCAAAAATTATTTGCCCTAGCACAAAATGGGGGATTTGGGGAAGTACACCCCAAAAGGACAGTGCCCCAAACCGCACAGCACCAGAAACCTCAGAAAAAAGTGCCAAGAGATTCAAGTCAGCCCTTTCCCTTTAACAAAATTAAGCACCAGCTGAAAGGAACACTCAGAGCAGCCTGCTAAGGGTTGTTACAAAAGTAACAAAAGCCGACCACAGAAATACTTAAGTAGAGCCATTAAAATAAGGGGAAATCAGGCTAAAATAGACTCTCCCAGGTAAACTGAAACACCCCTTTTTTTCCCCCTGAAAGGATTAGAGCCCAAGGCCAGGATAAACAAAAGACCTGGTACCTAGATTAACCCAGGAAAACAAAGCCCAGGGCAACCAGAAAATATCAAAACCCATCAAGCTGCAGGAGCTTCAAAGGGGAATTAAGCATAAAAGGCTCAGAGTCATACCCCCCAATTTGCTTGCAAGCCAGGAATACTCCAACTGTGTCACTGCTTTTCTTGCCTTCCTGAATTAAAGAACCCTGCGTTCTGGCAGCTCACTCCTGTGTCATTTCTTCTCAGCATCAGTGACTGCTTCCCAGCTGGGAACAAACTCAGGAAATTTTCTTCCAACAGATCCTTTCAATAAAGCAGTGTTTCTTGAATCAGAACTTCTAGCTTAAACTTAATTAAAACCAAACATCAAGAAAGACCTGAAATGGTAAAAGAGAATTAGCTAGAAATGGTGGATCAAACTGCTACACGTAAACCACTGATTTATTTTGGGCCAAGTGTTTAAGAAATATTCAGAATAAATGAGATACTGACCCTATCTCTCTCACACAGAGACTCTGTCAGTTTGTGTACACATATGTTCAGAGGAGAATTCATCTTTGGCATTATTGTATTCCTGTTAACACAGATAATTCAGACAAATGGACTATATCAAGTATCCTATAATAACACCGGATGCACCTGAAAAGAATCCTCATTATTTATCAAATTTAGATTTAAAATGCAAAGAGGTTTTTTAGATTCTCTTATAATATGATAATGTAGCCAAGTGTCAGAATTTTCTTCCTATCTGGTAAATATCATGTAAGAAGGCACTCTCTCCCCAAAGAATTTACCCTTCAAAAAATTAAGGATAGAAAGATGCCTTTATCAAAGAGGAAAACTTTCCTAAAATAAGAAAATGATTCATGCCTGGTCCCTCTCTGTCAGCAATAGCACTAAAGGCATTATTCACACCTCTAGTGAACCCAATGAATACTTAGTTTTCATTCAGGAAACTATTCAAATCCAGAAACAGACTTCTGATACCACAGTCTTTTACAAAGCAGATTAACAGAGAAAGATAAAATACTATTTTAAATGTATATTCCCATCTGCCTTCAAAGGCAGGACATAACACCTTAACACAAGAGATAACGACAATCTGACACATCTTCACACACACACATTCAAGAAACATTTTACAATCCAAAATATTTCAATTTCAAAGCTCTAGAATTACAGTATATAAAAATCCATGCACTCATCAGGTTACTTTGTCCAAGTAACAAATTATCCAAGTAAGAAAGGTTGCTACTTGTATCATTTCTGAACCCCAATAAAGACCTCCAGCAGCTGGGTTCACAGCTTCATTTGATTGCATTTTGCTCTCCCAGCCCGGTAAGCGAGCCTGATTTCTCCCAGCAACAGTATAATTGCATTCAGGTTCAGGTAAGCTCATCTGTCATCCTCCTTGCCTCAGTACAAACACAGTCTCTTCATCTCATTAGAACTGGAATAATAATGGCACTCTCTAACTGTCACATCCATTGCAGTTTCTACTCTCTTGCTATCCAAAGTAGGTTCTTTGCTCTGCCAAAATAAATGGTACTCTGTGGTCTGGCTGCTCAACATATTCATTATATGCAAATGAATCTGCTCCAGTTGGCTACTGGGTGCTGTGGTAGAAACACCCCATCTTGTCCAGGCAATACAGGTAGCCCTCAACTTACGACCACAATTGAGCCCGAAATTTCTCTTGTTAAGCGAGACATTTGTTAAGTGAATCCCCCCCCCCATTTTTACGACCTTTCTTGCCATGGTTGTGAAGTGAATCACCACAGTTGATAAGCTGGTAACACACCTTAGGCACAATACAAGAGATAACGACAATCTGACACATCGTCTTATGTGAATCTGGCTCCCCCATTGATTTTGCTTGTCAAAAGGTTGCAAAATGGGATCACATGACCCAGGGACACTGCAACCGTCATAAGTATGAACAAGTAGCCAAGCATCTGAATTTTGATCAGGTGACCATGGGGATGTTACAAAGGTTGTAAGTGTGAAAAATGGTCTTAAGTGCTGTTGTAACTTTGAATAATCACTAAATGAACTGTTGTAAGTCAACATTGTGACCTATAGTCACAGTAGTCCACAACCATTCTATCCTGAATTACTAGGTTGTCTGTTTTCCTATCATGGGTCATTGAAATACTGAATCTTTTTTTTTTTTATTAGTTCACTAGGGAACCACTTTAAAAAAAATAACACAGGTGGATACTTTTTCCTTTTTCCCACCAGGTAGAACTGAATTTTGTAAGTTTCATTTCTAATCTAACTGACAGAATGGAATATAAAACTGTTGAGTGTATGTGTTTTTTTCCTACCGATCCACTGATAGATGGAAAGTGCAAGGTGAAAGGAATTGGAAGATTATACAAAAGGTGTATCAATGAATACTTACTCCAAGATGAATATTCAAAACTTACCTGATCTGAGGTACTGGGTTTCCAACAACCCTGCACTGAAGTAGAACCTTGCTTCCTTCCAGAATTTCTTGACTCCTCAGTTTCTGGATAAATCGAGGGGGAGATAATTGATTCTGACTTTCTTTTGCAATTTCATTTTGAGAGACAGTCTCACCAGCCTGAGAGTCTTCTTTCCTTTGGAGCACACGTTCTTTAACCTGAGTGACTTCTGGGATCTCATTTTTTGGCGTGATTTCTAAACTTGTTTCAAATACTGAATTCTTTAAAGAATTTGACAAAGCTAATTGCTTGCTCTTAGGAGAAAGATAGCCACTATCTGGAGACGAAGAATGTCCATTTGGACTCTCAACTTTCATCTTGGCTGCTTCATGAAAAATAGATGACAGTTCTTCAATCAAAGTGGCAGCTTTATCACATAGCTTATTCTTGAAGTGGACGTTACTTGTCAAAACGGATTTAGATTTGGGGCTTACATTTTGGGCATTTAAACTGTGCCTTTCAGCATTTTTGAGAGTTCGGATAAAGCTGGGTCTTGCAGGCAGCAGGGGGAAAGCACTTGCTTGTTTACCAGTAACATTTAAAATGCCGTTTTTGTCTTGAGGATGTGCATTCTGATCCTGCTGCTCCGATGGAGTTTGAGATGAAGGGCACAAGGAGGTGGACCTGGTTGCGCAGTTTCTCTTGGAAGGATAACTGTCCTGTGCTTTGACTTGCCCAGAAGAGGCATTTTCCGGTGAGTTTGGAGAACTGCTAAGATAAGAGCACTCTTGCTTAACTTCTTCTTCAACAGAATTAATGGCTTGATGAGCAAGTTCAAGGCTCTTGTTTTTCTCATCTTCACTGAGAAAGGCCGATAGTTCCTGTGAAAAGTCCCCGTCTTGTATATCTGATAGGGAGTCATAAAAGAGTTCATAACAGGATGAATCCTCAGAATTATTTTCATAGTTTCCAACATAAGTGCTCTTCTCAAAAGGATGAGGCTCTTTCATAATTACAGAGAAAGGGACAGGCTGCCCACAATTTGTGTCCTGCATGCTGGAACAAAAAATAAATCTTGTCTCAGAAAATCCAGGAATTTTATCTAAGTTGTATCCTAAAAGACAGTCAGAGATTTCCTGCAAAAAGAAGTGCATAACGAAATGCATACTTTTACATACTGTTATTTTTTTAAATGAACTTTTAGAATTTTAATTTTTTACATTAGAATTTTTTCTAAATCCGTGGTTAAATCTTTTACATTTTGAACATTTACAAACTTTTTAAATTTTAATCCTTAAATGAACTAGCAAAAAAAACCCATAGCTATGAAGAAAGAGACTACATTGTTCTCCTTTTTACCATATGTTCTATGTATATACTTATATCCATACAAAACCCAAATTACACATGCACTAAATGTAATCTAAATGAATTACAGGTAGTCCCCGACTTACTTCATTTAGTGACTGTTCAAAGTTACAACAGCACTGAAAAAGTGACTTATGACCATTTTTCACACTTACAACCATTGCAGCACGCCTATGGTCATGTGATCAAAATGTGGATCTTATGATGGTTGCAGTGTCCTGGGGTCATGTGAACAGCTTTTGCAAACTTTTGACAAGCAAAATCAATGGGGAAGCCAGATTCACTTAACAACTGTGTTGCTAACTTAACAACCACAATGGTTCACTTAACAACTGTGGCTAGAAAGTTCATAAAATGGGGTAAAACTCACTTAACAAATTTCTCACTTAACAACATAAATTTTGGGCTCAATTGTGGTCATAAATCAAGGACTATCTATACTAGAAGAGAAAATATAGGATCTGGGACAGTAGTGGCCAACCTTTTGGGGCTCCTGTGCCAAAAATTGTGCGCACGCTTGCATGCTTGCGCTTGCATGCAGGCACCCAGAAGGCAAAAAAGGACATGATGAAATGGGCCTAGTTTTCAGCCTGAAGAGCCTGCAGAAGCCTTCCTGAAGCCTCTGGGAGGTCGAAAAAGGCCTCAAACTGGCCAAAAATAAGCTGTGAGGTGTGCGCACATGCAGTGAGGTAAGTTTGCCTGCAGCTTGCATGCCAAGCACAAATGGCTCTGCGTGCCACCTTGGTACACGTGCCATAGGTTCACCATCACAGATCTAGGAGAAATTCTAACCACTCTGAAACTCAACCTACAAAATGAGAAACTCCAACCTAAGCAAGAAGACTATACCCAAACTGAACATAATAAAAGAACAACTTCTAAAAGAAATGACCCTGTATATTAGGGGTGTCAAACTTGCGATAACACATTGTCATCATGACATATCATAACTTTCCCCTCCTTTGCTAAACTAGGGGTGGGCGTGGCCAGCACATGATGCATCTGACTCGCGGGCTACAAATTTGACACCCCTGCTGTATATGAACCTTAGAAGAAGACCGATGGAAACATGTCATTCATAGAAGAAAACAGCAACCAAGAACAATGTCCCTGCTGTCTAGTCCATCCCCTTTTGAGCTAAGCAATCAATTTCATAGCCTTCCCCTGCAAAAATCATGCAGACATTATGAAAGAGGCATCATCAAGTTCATCAGCTTCCATCGCTCGAAAGAGACTGCCTAAAGACAAGGGGACATGGGCAGCCCCACCTCGCCCTGAAGCGGCTGGGGACTCTGCCTTCAAGGGAGCTTTCATCTCCTGATAGAAGTGGCCTCATGGCGAAGGGAGTGTGTGTGTGTGTGTGCGCTTGCCCCGAGGCCGCTTCTACCGGCTGATCGAAGTAGCTGGTGACTGCATTTGGGGAGCTTCCATTGCCCGAAAGAGACTGCCTAAAGGTGAGGGGACATGGGCAGCCATGCTTCGCCCTGAAGCGGCTGGGGACTCTGCCTTCAAGGGAGCTTTCGTCTGCTGATAGAAGCGGCCTCGCGGCGAGGGGAGTGTGTGTACGCTTGCCCCGAGGCCGCTTCTACCGGCCAATTGAAGCTCCCTTGAAGGCAGAGTCCCCAGCCGCTTCGGGGCGAGGTGTGGCACACACACACTCCCCTCGCTGCGAGGCCGCTTCTACCGGCCGATTGAAGTAGCTGGTGACTGGATTTGGGGAGCTTCCATCGCCCAAAAGAGACTGCCCTAAAGGCGAGGGGACACGGATAGCCACGCCATGCCCTGAAGCGGCTGGGGACTCTGCCTTCAGGGAGCTTCTATCGGCTATCGGGGTATTCCAGCCTAGGCTACCTGCAGGGCACTCCTAAAGGCAAGTTTTCTCCCCACCCCCCCCACCCTTCCCCCGCCCACTTCTCTTCACCTCGTGTAGTTCTAACAAACAATGTGAGAAATGGCAGGGAAAAGCATGGTTTGAATAGGCCTAAATTTTGGGGGCGGGGCTTAATTTCACCTCATGCCTAGAAATCATGCTGGGCCTTCCTATTGGTGGAGGCCGTATTGTTGGAGAAACACGGTACCTTGATGTCAACTAGGAGACAAACACTGTATCAAGTGGGAGATCAAATAGGTTCCTGACCAACCTAGCTGACAACTTGTCATCCAAAAGGTAAAGGAGTGAACTAGAGAAACAGCTATATTGGACTTAATTCTTACTAATAGACAACAAGAAATAGAGAGGGTTGAAGTTGCCAGAACTTTGGGGGAGAGTGACTATGTCATATTGGAATTCAGTACAATGCAAATACAAGCAATCAAACGGGTGTCTTAGACTTTAAAATGGCTGATTTCAACAAACTTAGAGAGAGTTTGGGAAGGATTCCATAGATTAAAATCTTAAAGGGGAAAGCAACTCAAGAAGCCTGGGAAACTCTGAAAAATTAATTATAAAAGTCCAGTCCAGCTCAATACTACTGAAAAAGTAAAACAAGAAATCCAAGAAGAAACTAGCATGCCTACATAAAAAAATATCTCTGATAAATTGAAAGACAAAAAGGACAAGTACAAAAAATGGAAAGAGGGACACATAACTAAGCAGAATACCAACAAATAGCCCAAATTTGCAAAGATGAAGTCAGGAAAGCTAAGGCTCAGAATTAAGTAAGACTTGGAACAAAAGTCAAGGAAACATTCAGTCCACTAATGAGTGAAGATGGCAAGGAAATAATGGGCAGTAGAGAGAAAACAGAGCTGCTTAATTCATTCTTTGCATCTGTCTTCACACAAAAAGATAATACAGCCCAACCTTCCAAAAACATAACTATAAAAGACAGGCTAGGAATACAAATTAAAATAAGAAAGAAAATGGTATGAGAATACCTGTCCACTCTGGATGAGTACAAATCACTGGGACCTGATGGATTAGTTCCCAGATTTCTGAAGGATCTGGCAGATGTGATCTCATAACCATTGAACCATATCCAGGAACTACAGACCAATCAGCCAAACATCAATACCTGAGAAGATCCTGGAAAAGATAATCAAGCAACAGATTTGTGAACACCTAGAAGCAAGCAAAGTTATAATCACAAGCCAACAAGGGTTTTTCAAAAATAGATCATCATGCCAAACAAATCTTATTTGGTAAGCCGTGGATGAGTTGTGGTTAAAGTGCAGTACTGCAGGCTACTTCTGCTGACTGCTGACTGACTGCAATTTGGTAGTTCAAATCTCACCAGGCTCAAGGTTGACTCAAACTTCCATCCTTCCAAAGTGGGTAAAATGAGGATCCCGATTGTTGGGGGCAATATGCTGACTCTGTAAAACAGCTTGGAGGGGGCTGTAAAGCACTGTGAAGTGGTATATAAGCCTAAGTGCTATTGCTATTTCATTCTTTGACAAAGTGATTAAATTAGTGGACTAGCAAAATACAATGGACATAATATACTTGGATTTCAATAAGGCATTTAACAAAGTAGACCGCTTTGGTAAGCTAAAAAGTGTGAGATAGACAGTATCACCAACAGATGGATATGTAACTGACTGACAAACTGTTCTCAATGTGTAATCCTCAATGGAATAAATTCTACAGTGAAAGAAGTAAGCAGCGAGGTACCCCATGGTTCCATTTTAGGCCCAGTATTCTTCAACATCTTCAACATCTGATTTAGATGAAGGAATAGAAGGGGAGCTCATCAAATCTGCAGATAACACTAGACTGGTGTCAGGGTTCCAAGTAATGCGCCCATAGAAAACAAACTCCGAGGCACTCAAGCTTCTTAAATAATAGTTTATCGGATACATCATATTGACATGAACTGGTGAAAGCTCATTCTGAGGTTTCCCGTGGCTTTCACTTAATTAAAAGTAAAAGTTTTCCCCTTTCCCCCAAGTCATTGGTCATGCTGTGCAATCCAGGTGCAGTTCCTTGTCCAAAACTCCCTTAAAAAGCAGACTAGGAGGTGCTCTGGCCAGTGCTGCAGTTTGCCAGCAACTCTTCTGAACTCTCGGGTGCATTCTTTGGCAGGGCAGCCCCTCTGCTTCATCTCCTTGATCTCTGCCTCAGGTTCCTGGGCTTGGGATTCATCCTTAAATCTGTCCCTCAGCTCCTGTAGGAAACAAAAATCGACATTTCCCAACTCTGGCACGTCCTCATTGTGTAGTTGGTTCATCCACTCCGCTGCTTCCCTCTTGAATTTCTTTGTAATTGCCTGGATCATCGATGGATCACTTGGGTAGTCAGGGCCATATTCATCGATGTGGGCCTACACTCGGTTTAGGAAGAATGCCAGTTTGTCTGGATCCCTGTCAAAAGCTGCTTTAAACTGTCACAGGGCAGCAGGCCAGACTGGTGGTGGAGGCGCTGCTAGGGGCATCAGTGGCATCAGGGCAGGGGTCCATTGGGCCCAGCTGGCTTGGACCCAGCTGTGCCCAGGATAGTAAGCCCAACAGGGAGGCACCTACCAACCCGGTGGAATTTGGAGCTGTCTGGGCAGGCTAGCTGCTCTTCAACATCTCAGTGGGCTCTGTCATGGTCCTGGGATGGATTGCACTGATGGAGGCAGTGGGGGGCGGGGGGGGCTAGCTGCCCAGGTTGTTGCAGTGACAATATGTTTCCAATTTCTCTTTCTCTTATCTGTATAAATTCTTTGTCTTTTAATATGGACTGATTTAAAGTCCACCTTACTCTTCTCTTCGTTGCTTCCAGCTAATTTTAACTCGAGTATGATCAGCCCATAAATTTATTTTCTATTTCTATCTCTTGCCTATTTGCACTTAGTTCCGAAGTCATCTGAATCATATCCATTCTGGACCAAGATTGATGTGTGTTAGAGAAAAAAGTGTATTGGTTTTTCCCTGGGTTCATTTCTCTCCACGTGTCTTGTATAGATAGTTCTTCTGTCATTTTAACAAAAGTTCTAGGTAAAGTCTTTCTTATTTTTTAATTTGTTTTGCTACTTTTATAGTCAAGTTTTGTATCAACTATTGCACTGAAAAATCTTAAAAGACAAATATTTTTATATTCTGTTTCAAGTATCTTCAAGTATGAAATTTTTAATAAAATTCTTCGTGTCCATTGTTTGGTGCATAGATAGCAATTGAGAGTATCTGTATCTGTATCTGGTTTAAGATCACTTCCACCATCAAAATTCTCCCTTCTTCATCTTTGAAAATTTGATTGGCACTTATTGTTGCTTTAATATATAATGCCACCCCTCTTCTTTTTTGTTGAGATAGCGAGGAGAATAGTTTTCCCAATTTAGGGTACTCCAATAATTTATTATGGAGTTTTTTAATATACACTTCTTGAAGTGGTGTTTTGTCCAATTTTAATCTTTGTAGTTTGAAAAATATTTTTTTCTTTTCATAGGGGAATTTCTCTTCTACATTCTGAAATCTCAGATTTTTTAAAAAGAGAACAGAAAAGAGGAGACTTCATTACAAAACATGTGGGATACAGAGAAAACTTATACTAGGGACTAACTATAACTTATATAGCGAAGAAAAGTAAGAAAAAGAAACAATATCAAAAGACTTTAGAAGAAGAATATAAAAGACTTGAAGTAGAGTTACAAAAAAAACCCATAAAAGGTAACCTTAAAAAACCAAGTGGAGATGATTAAGCATAAGTTAAATATAACGGAAAAAGACAAAAATAAAAAGAGCAAAGGCTTTTTTTTTTCCAGAATGCTAATAAACCTGGAATAAATCATATTGGCATGAACTGGTGAAAGCTGACTCTGAGGTTTCCCCTGGCTTTCACCTAATTAAAAATAAAAATTTTACCTTTCCCTCCCAAGTCACTGGTCATGATGTCCAAACCAGGTGCTGGCCGGTTGCTGGGGACTACGGCAACGTTGAACAGCAGCAGTGTAACAGGGTTGAAGCAATTTCATTGCCTCAGGACTGATGGATCCTGGCCAGGGAAGTGTTATGTCCCTGGACCTTGAAGAAGTTCCCACCCAGGTCCGTTCACGCTGCAGGGGCAGCTGCCCCTTCTCATTGGCTGGGTTTCCCCAGCAGCCTGCTATAAAAGCAGGCTGCTGGGTCCAGCCCTTTCGCTGTTCGCTGCGAGCCAGTTCCAGGCTGAGCAAGCACGTTCAGTCCTTGTAAATAAACCTTGTTGCACTAAGCCCTGGTTCAGCCTCTTATTTCCCATACTTAATACTGGCGACGAGGATGGGATGGCTACCAGAGGCAAGCTGCAACGCTGAATCACTAAAACGCTGATCCGCAGCCCAGAGAGAGAGCGATCAGCCAAAATAAGGGCAAACGCT